CAGTTTGACAGTTATGGCAGTTGAATGGTTTCTAATTTTATTGTCCAATCAGATGATTTAAAATTCAAAACTACGCATCTGATTGGACAATAAAATTAGAAACCATTCAACTGCCAGAAATGTCAAACTGAAACTTGCAGTTTTTCACACGCCGCTTGCAAAGAATTGTAATCGCGTGGTACACAAATATGTCCTTTGCAATTGACAAAACCGTCACTGACAAAGCACCTAAAAAAACGGTAGTTTCGCAGTTTACTGGGAACAATAGTATTTCCAGATTATTTTGCTTCGGTTCGTTTCTGTCAAGTTGTCAACCTGTCAAGGCAATTTTTGGCGCCAAACACTGCAGAATATGCCCGAGCCTGCGATCCTCTGCGGTGCAATACTATATACTTCATATAGTCCCACAAGTTTAACCGGCCCTTCCTATGCTCATGAGCAATTTCAGGTAGATTTTCCAGTAGGTTTTCAGGTAATTCTCAGGGCATAAGAAAGTGAATTGGGAAATATAACTATATTTGCGGAAAACTGTTTTAGTATTTTCGTAAAAATGTATCAAGAAAATTTTTTTTGTATTTTCGGAAAAATTATGATATGTCCGGAAAATTTTTTCATATCACATATGTTATGGAAAATTTTTGGTATGTCGGGAAAAATTTTTTGTGACTTCCCCTCCATTTAGGTAAATCTAACCTCACACACACCAGTACACCTAACCTATTACACAATGCTTTATGTTTATATATATATTCTTGTGTTCAATATAAAAATTATTGGGGCTATCTAATGTCGGTACCCCCAGATGACCAGCCAGTGCGCGCTCCCCGGATGAAGACAGGCAAACCCCATTTCAAGACACCGGTCCTTTCTCTTTTGAAAGATTGAGTCCTTTCGGCCAGTGTATAACTAGGAACGCAATACACCACCACCAACACATATGTAATTCACACGATAAAAGATACATACCCCAAATATCGGGCTACAAGAATGTTACACTATATAATTTGAAAAGTTCTTTCTAATAGGAATCTGTCTAATTACAATTACCTGTGCGTAAAATTCGTGTATGTTCCCGTAAACATCGAGATTTGGGGTAGATGGTGGATGTAATAATAAAAACAATAACCACATAGTTTTATTTTTAATTAATGTAAAATAAAAGAAGAAATGATGTTGTATTTTAAACAACGAAACGTTAGCAAATATTTTTTTTGCTTTTATTATGTTTGGTTTTAAAGTTATTTGCTCGGCTCTGCTCTTTATCTTTAAACTAATGTAAAATAACATCAAGTAAAAACAGAAACTACTTTCAATTCTTCTAAAAGTATATTTTCAACGATTAAAAGAATTGTTTTCGGCTTTTATGAAAGCCATGCACACATGCAAATATCACGTAATCATCGATAATTACGATATATCGTTTCTGTCTTCAATACGATATGGCAGAAGGAATCGATAATATCAATAATCGAAATATCGTGTATGAAAAAAGAATGCAATGCAAGTGACATGGCGTGTGGACAAGTAACCATTTAACATGAATCATGGTTATTAAAAGATAAAAAGTTCTCAAATGTAGTAAGGTGTAAAACAATGTCACACGGTCGCCATTTCAACCTCGCTGACAGTCAATGTTTGCGGATTCAATTCTGCTAACATCAGTTGTTGCTTGGCAACCATTTCCTCGAGCTTGGCCTGAACTTCCACAGCTTCCTTCTTCACAATAGGAAGTTTAATTTCCGTGACAAATTTCAAAGCTCTCCGAAGCCGCGATAAACTGGTACAGCGACGTGATGTTTGCGGGCTCAGAAGGCAGGTCAGTTAGAAATAGGATTTCTTGAATGACGACCAGCATGATAGTTTCAAGCTCGGTCCAGATCCCAGAGGAGAGCTCGCCATCTTGGTTCGACGCAAACACCACTCCTTTAATTCGCTTGTAAGACAAAACTGAAAAGTAGTTTCGTTCAGACAAAAAGACTTTTGCTGCTGTTTTTAGAGATATAAGCCATTTCACATCAAATTGATGGAACAAGCTGTTAACAACCTTGTTGATATTGTCAGACTTGTTACAAGGTTGTTCCTACAAGTCCAATGCAGTCATGATATAACAATATTGTTACAACCTTGTGTCGTCAACCTTGTACTTGAACATTCTTGCTATATCATGACTGTATCAGACTTGTCAGAACAACCTTGTAACAAGTCTGATAATGCCATCAAGCTTATTACAAGTTGTTAACAGCTTGTTCCAAACTTGTTACAACAACTGGAAACAAGCGGTGCGAACACAACTTGTCGACAGCTTGTGAACAGAGTTGCAACAACTTGTTTGCAGACCTGCATCCCGAGCTAAGCTTGCTTAGCTAAGCTGATCATGATTTCATCCCGTGTTAACATGAGACTTTTGAGGTAGGCTGGCTTGCCAAAACATATAAATAGTATAATATAAATATATTTTCTCATGAACCTGAATAGTTCACAGAGAACTTTCAAGATCAAAATCTTTCGAGAAAATTGTATTTTCAGTATGACATTTGACGTGCGAACAAAGCAGTATAATATGCAGCCCGCTTAGGCAAACCAGCCCAGGTTATATGGGAAACTCCCAGCCCGGTCACCCAACATTTCGGGTCAGTCGAGACCAGTGGTCGAGACCCAGATTGCATTTTTTGCACCGCGCGCGGAAGATCTCACACGCGCATTTTTTATTCTTTTTATATATTTACTATTAAATTTTCGAAATCTCCGGCGCACAATTTCAAAACTTTCCGGTCTGGGTCGAGGCGGGATATCTCTGAGGTGAACAGCTTGGTACCTATATAGTATATAGTATATACACAATTACACATGAAATGACATTTAATAGGAAATAATAACAAAGGCAAGATCTCGTCTAAATTGGGTTAACTCAGGTACCCAGGCTGGCCATACTACAGTCCCTTCAGTGCAAACTGCACATGCTGTTATACATTCTCCTTTGTCAGACGAATAGCAGGGCCGTGCCACCTGGGGGGGGGGGGTGTAACACCCCCAAAAAAAGTTTAAAAGGGGGGCCCAATTTGCGGGGAAGGTGGCCCTGACATGCTGGAATTGCAGAATTGCAAAAACTGCTAGTGTACTAGATATAAACTAATTCTATGTGACGACCTATATTTAAACAGAAAATAAAGAGATCTAGCTGCTATTTCAAAAAGGATACGACCAACATACGACTCCAATGTGGACGCCATCGTTGATCTTCGTGTTTCCACTATACAATAAATTTCAAAATCTTCTTCGATCGAAAATTTCCTCGCACGTTCTTCGTATGTCCTACCCTGGATTCCAGAGCCTTCGACAGTAAATAATAAATTGAAATGTCGCGACGGCTCTGGTTCAACGGGGCGATTCTTTGATTAAACCGCGCCAATCACAAAACAGAATTAGTGGTACAGAATCTGTACTAAAACCACTAATTCTGTTTTGTGATTGGCGCGGTTTAATCAAAGAATCACCCCGTTGAACCAGAGCCTTCGCGACATTTCAATTTATTATTTACTGTCGAAGGCTCTGGAATCCAGGGTACGTATGTCCAAACTCCAAAACAATTAAGTCATATCCTTCAAAACTTGTGTATTGGTTATTACAGATTTCCCATATGGTAAATTAGTAAAAACTATGATGTTTATTATTTTATACCAATTTACCATATGGATTTAAGGCAAAAACATTCTGGAAACTTGTGTATTGGTTATTACAGATTTCCCATATGGTAAATTAGTAAAAACTATGATGTTTATTATCTTATACTGATTTACCATATGGATTTAAGGCAAAAACATTCTGGACTCAAAAAGTGAAAATGTTCTGGGGAAATATCACTGATCTATATATACCATCAAGAATGCAATATCCCATGACCCAATGCAATAACACGAGGAATGGATTTTTTGCCCCATAATCTAAAGGCGAAGGAGGAGGCTAGAATGTATTATATATATGCGAGTATCAATCAAACTTTAGTTTAGTAATTTGGATGAAAATTGGATAATAGTTTACAACTGTGTATATATATATATATATATATATATATATATATATATATATATATATATATATATATATATATATATATATATATATATATATATATATATACATGCG